TGCTCCATGTAGAGCCAGAGCGTGATGAAGATGGCCACGCTCGACAGCTGCTCCCCGACGAAGCCCGCCTCCCTCACCACGGCCCAGTATCGGTACTGACGGAGGCCCTCGTTCCTCCGCAGCTCCTCCAGGAACCGCTGGTCCACGTAGTTGTCGGGGTACGGCTGGCGCTCCCACAGAACCTTCCGCCACGGCACAGCTGGACCCGGGGCCCCATCTGGTCCCATGACCCTAGAAATAAACACGCAAACAAACGCACACACGTTGAGTATTAAACTTGTTCTGCATCATTTTACTTTCCTAAAGTTCCTTAGCGATGTCATATATATATAATAATTACATTTACACATATAAATCACTGGGAACACGATGAGCCCGTGTTGAACTTATCCACTGCTTCATTAGCTGTTAGAATATTGAAGCCGGCATTTACGATTATTTTAGCAAACACTTGAAGTAGCTTTAAAGACCGAGTTAACTGAGTCTGATCAGCTTCTAGACGTCTAATGTGTTGTGAGATGCATGTAGTGGTCAAACATGGTGTAAACATCTGTCTGGTGCTAAAAGCAGCCAGAACGTGTCGCTTTAGAGAGACGGAGCATACTCGGGATGACGTCAGTGTTCTGAAGCGTTTCACCGGTTGATCGCTGCTGCTAGCATGATGCTATCGCTACTCATAGAACCGGACGTGTCTGACGTAACCGCGTGTTTTATGGAAAACGAGATGTTGTTAATCTGTTAGTCACAAGAATAAAATAATTAAACATAATAATTCCTCACCGTTCTGCGATGGTGTTTTATTCGGGACGGACGTTCGCGTCCTCCGCTGTCATCATGGCGGAAGTGGGTTTCCGGCAGCGCTCACGCGCCCCCTGCTGGTTCTGTTGAAGCGCAGAGCGCGTCACCGACTGTCTGCCTACGTCATCCTGTTCTGACGTAACAACTTTGCAAAAGGTGTCGTAGAGGTTTCATCTCATTATGCGCGTTGAGTACATTTAAACGCGCATTTGTCCCTGTGAGCACACAAAAAGAGAACATAATACACATTTAAAATGTCCATGCTGTTTAAAGTACTGATGACTGAGTGTTTAAGAATATTTAGTTTATTTACAAATTAAAATATAAAAGACTCTGGATCCATTGTTTCATTATTCTTCAGGTTGCAGATGTGGAAAGAAGTTTGGATTTGGGGTTTTGTGTAAAGTGTAAACATTTTTTGGTATTAGAAGTATTTACTTCCCTGTTGAAACAAAAATCTCTTACTCAGACACTTTGTATATTTTAAATATTTGATATCTTTTATTTTTGTAGAACATTGAACTCCTTTAAAATAGGTCAGAAACTTAATATTGCCAATCCATCACTTATAGACTCAACACAGTGCTGAAAGTAGCAACATAATGTGCATAATCACTTAAACTGAGGCAGATGATGAAGATCATGACATCATATTTTATCCCAGAAACCCAAAATATGAACATTCACTTCAAAAGACTCACTGTTCAGTTACACACCATCGGGAGGCTGTTAAAAGGTCGAATAGACACACACACACACACACACACGTTAATGTAACCCAATATTAATATACTGCATGTTTTCCATAAGTTGGCTTTTAAATGTGTAAATGAGGCATTTCGTTATAACATGTGTGCTAGTTTAAGCATTTACAGAGATAATTGTTTTACATCTCGTAGCCATCAAACAAGAAATCAATTTCCTCCGTGTTTATATTAGAAGAACAAAATGTCTGCCTGAAGCTTCTCGCTGTGAACGATGAAGACGTGCTCTTCATCCGTGACATGCAGAGCTCACTGGAACAACAAGACCACAAGGCACCAATGAGCTGTCCTCCAGAGGACAGACTGGACCCGCTCATCCGCTGTGTTGACCTGAGAGCAGGAGGACCAGGGAGAGGACAAGGACCAGGGACACGTCGCTCTGTGGCCTCAGAGGCAACTCTGTGTCGATGGTTTGTAGAACATGAAAATCAAAGGAAATGTAGAGATAAAAAAGGTGGAGAACGGACACTTCAAAGGGAGCAGCGCCGCCGCGTCGCAGAGGTCACGACCCTCCAGGTGTCCCTGGCACAGAAGGAGACATCTTCACACAGGACACCTGTCAGTGGCAGCAGTGAGGCTTGACGTGGGGGGGCAGTGGTCCTTAAGAGATGTCCTGTGCGCCAGGGTTCATCGAACAGACCCGTCCACAGAAAAGGGAGCCCGTCGCCATGGTAACATACAAGACACATTGAGTAGATGGGACTTCCCACTCTTGTTTGGCAGAGAAATATAAACTCATGTTATATCACGCGTCCTTGTTCCTCCTAAAACACGTCCAGAGAAACAAGGACTTTGTTTGTTTGTTTGTTTGGCAGCATTTGTCTCAGTAACATTGTGACGACAAACGATGCCACATCCTACGAGTTCATGCTGCAGCAGAGAGGTCGGGGGGGGGGCAGTAACTCTGTGTGTGTGTGTGTGTGTGTGTGTGTGACATCGTCAGCCAATCTCTCCCCCGTTATGTGCGGAGCTTCCTCTTGTCCTCAAACAGCGAGCGGACCAGGTAGACCTGAACTGCAGAGATCATCGTCATGACGACCACATTCACCACCGACCAGAAGTTGACCCGGTCGAAGTTGCTCTCCTGGATGTTGCGGTCTCGAGCCTCGAAGGCCCGAAGCACCGTCTGGATGTGCACGCTCTTCCCCAGGCGAGCCTTCACGTTGTTGATGGTGTCCTGTGGGGGGGGGGAGGAGGGACATGGGTGAGACGGACGTAGCTGGACTCTCCACGGCAGCGGGAAGGAATCGGACTTGTGTCTCTAAAAGCGACCACAGGATGCAGCAGAAGCTACAAAGAGGAAGAGGAGGAGCCTGTCGCCACATTCTACGTCAGGCTACGCGTTCCCCGTATGTAGGTGAGCTTTCAGGTCCCCAAAGGGCCAAACAGAGGTCAGGTGGTTACGTCTTCCACGGAGGAAAAACACTTCCTGCCAGGCCGAGCCACTCACTTCCTGTCTTTACAGCAGTGAGCTAATGAGGCCCATGTGACCTCCGACACGGATTCAGAAGTCGCCACTGTGGTGCAAGCGGAGACAATAGGGGAGAGTTCACCGTGTGTCCCGCCAAGGACTCGGCTCGTGTAAGGGCCCCCTCATGTCTCAGCAGGGGGGCCCGTGCTGCCACGACCACAAACAAGCTTCATTGGATCTGCGCTTAGTTAGCCGCTGCTAATGCTAAGCTAACCGTTGAATGTGTCTGCATGTTAGCCAGACAGACAGGTTAAATGGGCTGCCGGGTTTGTCCCTCACCATGATGTCCTCCAGCTTCATGTCCAGCACGTCGGTTCCCTGGACGTACTCCTTCCAGTCCTCCACCTCGTCGTCTCGCTCCATGTTGTCCAGGATCAGCTCGAAGAAGACGAGCTTCTCGGAGACGGCGCTGAACGTGTTGTCGAAGCAGAACATGTAGTCTCCGTCCTCGGTGTCCACCACGCTGGAGGAAGGAGAAAGGCGGTGAGACAGTGTGGATTTGTTTGGCTGAATGAAGCTACATTCGACTTGTGAAAAAGGAACGAATGTTAAACTTCTTTCTAAAACGATACGAGTGATCGTCGGCTTCCAAACTTACGTGTGAACTCCGTCCGACTTGCGATAGTCGCTGAACACCACCTGGCCAGCAGGAGAGGTGATGAAGAAATCTACATCGAGCCCTGAGCCGTCCAATACCTGTGGAGGAAAAGGGGAAGCATCAGAGACATCAGCCTCTACATTTGTCCTGCGACGCACAGAAGGTGTGAGAGCAACTCCGTGACGTCACAGCAGACGTCAGCGTCATTCGGCTGCAGGCTGACCGGCATAACAGGTTTACTGCAGGTGTGTGACTCTTACCTGCCGTCGCTCACTAGCACGTTGCCTTTAACATGGAAGTGGGAGACAACACGTTACCATGGAAACAGCAACGACCCGCCACCGGGGGGGGGGGGGGGCTTGTGACGAATAGGTTACGCTCACCTGGTACTCGATCTCCAGCGAGGCGTCCTTCTTCATGGTCTGGAAGAAACACTCCTTCCGGCCGGCGGGCAGCGTGAACGTGAAGTCGCTGTCCAGAGACTGGGAGAAGGAAGCCAGCACCGCGCTCCTCCCCGGGAACAGGGCTCCGAACACGGACAGGGCGCACAGGGTCGCCCGGACGGCCTCCATGGGGTCGATGGCTGCGGGTTTGTGGTTAAAAAGAGCCGGAACGCGGCGGGCGGGCGTTAGATACGCTGGTCCCAAACTTCACTTCAGCTGGAAATGTTCTTCTTACTTTTAGTACTGAAGACTGTCCGGACGTCAGGACCCCGCCTGATTAAAATCATCTACTCGACTTTACGTTTCTCCGATTTAATATAATATAATTCAACACAAACAAGATGGTGTGTGTATATATGGGTGCATATATATATGTATATATATATATACATTTGTATATATATATATATATATATATATATATATATATATATATATATATATATATATACATATATATGTATGTGCATATATATTTTAGGCACATATTCTCGCGCTGCACTGTGGGATATGTATTCTTTAAAGAAATGTTATTTCCAAATACAATTAATACATTTACATAAAACACAAAACGTTTTTTCTATATTTAAATATAGATAAGTCTATTAATTGCAGTTGCACTCGTTTTTATTTGAATGATTTTTGTAATTTCAGCTGAATGACCCTTTATATTAAAAATGAATTGAAATTGATAGATGATATGTCTGATATGATACATGTATGATTACATTACATTGCATTTATATATACGTATGCATTTTTCTTCACTGCCATCCGGCCTCAACAAGGAATGGTTGTTTTTGTAATATGTTATGGGGAAGTACTACTTGTAGCATATGAAAGAGTTGAGGAGAAAAGTACACAATGTTCACATTCCTCACTGCATTCCTCACCTCCCTCGTGAAGTGAATTGGACATATACATATATTGTCATTTACTCAATCAAAGGTTTAAAATTATTCATTATATTTAAACGTTTAACATCAGCCGATTGAGCAATACAGTTTAAATATGACGTATTTCAGTGATTTACCGATCAGGACATCAGTGACGCGTTCTGCTTCGCAGTCATTTCAAGGGGGCGTATTATCAAACGCGGTGTTGCCAGGTATCCTCTGATTGGTCGAAGCGTCCACAGCTATGATGCGATTGGTCCAACCCAGAGAGGAGGGAGGGGCTGAGCAAACCTCCAGCGAGCCGCCTGCCGGAGAGCAGTCGCTGTTCCAGCGCGTGAGGAGCGGACGGCTGTTTCCCGCACAAAGATGAGACATCGCACGCAATACGTGAAGCTTTAAGCCGCAGAAGACAGCGGTTCGTTCGCGACTAACACTCGTCCCACAACACCGGCTCGCCCTCGCCCCCCCACAGAGAGCGAGGATGTCGGTCCCCGCGGGAAGATGATGAAGCGGCTGCGCGTTGTGTTGGTGTGGCTCATCGTCGCTGTCCTGTGCTGGTAAGCTAACGGCTCCATCGCCTCAAACCTCCGCGGTTACACGCGGGAGCCTCGTTTTCACGACGACACGCCGCCCAGCGCGGTGTCCGTTCGCGGGCGTTGTGTCCCGCTGTCACCGGTGTTCAGCGACACGGGTCCTCGTTAGCTCGAAGCTAACGCTGCTAGCTGCACGGCGACGCTTCTAGCTAGCCGAGGAGGTGATGATGATGATGATGATGGTGGGAGGGTTAATTGACCAGTAACGGCCCTTAAAAGAGTTGTTTTTGTTAAAGTTTGCTGTTAAACGGGTTTAATAGCAGCATAAGATAACTCCAAACATGGACTGTGGAGGAAAACGTGTCTTAGTACTTATCCGATGGTTCTTACTGTAAATAAAGTAAAAAAAAACATTTATAATTCTTATTATTTCTTCCATATAACTAATCATTGTGTTCCAAATGGATGATTTTAAGTTATGGACTCATCCCTTGCTAAAGTACAACATTATCAGCTGTCTAAGTAAAGTTAGAATGAGCCTTTTTTAAATATGTATTTGTGGTATTTCCTTAATAGATGGTCAAATTCCAATGGCTCTGTGGGTTAATACGTTTAAATACATTCAAGCGTACAGTGTAGATCATTACTTAAAAACATTATTGTACAGATGTAACGGATCAAATATTGCATTCAAAATGTTTCACACTCCAAAGTACAGCAGGCGTCGTGTTTTAACCTGCAGCGGCTTTATGAGCCGACGTCGTCATAACAACGATCCTCTAGTGTCTGTTCATTCATTATCAGGGTGTAATCAATAAGTCTAATCCTTACACTGCGTTACATTTATCCCTAAATAGCTGACGCTTTTATCCAAACATTTTTAACCTAGGGTCAGTTTTTTAAGCCTAAATAATAGTTTCCTTATGGTTGAAATTATTGTGCGTTGCTTTGGATAAAAGCGTCAGCTACACGACACGTGATGAAACGGCCTTTGGTGAATCCTCCACTCTGCTCGTAACCTTTGTACTTCTTTTTCCTGAAGAATGGTCACATTCCCGTAGATTAGATTATTCAAAGGACGTCCTTTGTTGGTCCGATCCAGGTTGCTGTTTGGGGATCTTTTTATAATCCGGCTGAGAGTATAAAGAACAACATGAGATCATTAAATCCAGAGGCCTCGCTGCACCAAGTAACCAGCGTGCATCCTCACGCACACCCTCCGTTACGGACGCAGGGCGCCTTGTAGCCTGCAGCCGCGGCCTCTCACACTCCGGCAGCGCAGTAATCCCTCAGCTTTCAAGGGCCACGGCCGACGGGGGGGGTGGGGGGGGGGTGAAGGGCATCGCTTTTTAAAGTAACCATGTGCAGATGCCGCGCTTTCATTTGGCCCGTGAAACGTTACGGTTGAAGCGGAGGTTCCGTCGGGTCTCGCCCTCCTCGCCGCGCTGCCTCGGACATCAGAACCACTAGCGGAAGTTTGCGCGTGTACTCGAGTGCCTTCGCGTTTCCAGCCGCGGCGCTTGTCACTCATCGTAGGTCACCACGCGCATTCCGTCTCCCTTGTGGTCCGTTGGCAGTCTTCTCTGCAGGACTGCCTCAGACTTTCTCTTCCAGCTAATTCTGCTTTCTGCTAAACTATCTCGCACAAATGTTGTATTTGTAAAAATAGTTTGCGTAAAGACGGCTGCATCCTCTCCTTCTGTGTTATCAGCTCATTAGTTTCACAGCCGTTTGAGGAGGATTATTATGCAACGCGGCGATGAATCAGCCGGCCGGCCGAGTCAGTGCTTCGTATCTGACTCCCCTGATGTCGGTGTAACTCAGCGGCTCTGCTGTCGATTAGTTGTTGCAGCAGCTGAGAGGTGCTGTGGGGCTTTTGCTGGTGTTTATCACACCCAGCGCTCCGGTAACAGAACCCTGCAGGGTTGATCTGGTCCGACCTGTTTTCTATAGGAGGAGGCCGTCTGCCCTCCGCCGCCACATCGGGATTTCCCAACTGGAGGCTTGTGATATATATATATATATATATATATATATATATATATATATATATATAATATAACACCAGCAGCCGTTTGGAACTCCTGGGCTTTGGCCCCCCGGCTGTAGAACACACGAGGAGCCTCTGGTTTAAAGAACCACGTGTTCCTTCACTTCCAACCACAATGCAAACCTTCCCCTTTTTGGGGAACTGTTGCGTAAGCGGCTCCACCTCGTCGTGCTGCTGGTTTCCCTTCAGCTGCACAGACAGAACATCTCCACGTATGTTGGTACCCACACAGAACCGTGGAACCCTCATGAATGATCAGCTGTTTCTGGATCTTCCCGATTGCTCGTCTCTGTCTTAGGACAGCGTGGAACTTCTGACGCCAGCGAACAAGTAATTATCGCAGCTGATGGAGACGTTCCCCATTTGCATTTCTTTGGACCGTGTGGAACGCAGGAGGCTCTGTGGGTGTTTTGGGCTTCTCCTCCCATGAAGAGGAGAGGCGGGAGGTTTGAAGCTTCCTCGTGTTGCTCGTCACCTCATCCAGCTGTGCTGTAACCTCTGGTGCTGCGTCTCCTCGTGCTGGTTCATCAGACCAGGCCCTTGTTGTTGTTCTGCTAACATCTCACATGCGATCTGGTTAGACCTCGTGATCCAAAGAGCCCGATGACCCAACATGTGTAGACGCGCTGTCTCTCCTAGTCCAGAGGACATTTCTGAAACAAAGAAGTTATGAATAATTCCCGAGCCGCCTTAATGCTTCTTCATGCACGAGCACCAACGCATGAATGCACAGACGAGCTTCACTGAAGCACGTTCTCCTCCGTGAGAAGCACAGCTCCACCCTCGACTGGTCGCTTTAAGCACTGATTGAGCGAAACCAGGGATCCAAAGGGGAAGCTTCAGGGTTCATCTGTCCGAGGAAACATTTTGGTCCACAGCAGAATCCTCCCTCGTTTGTGATTTTGCCGTCTTTGTAATGCTCTAATTCCAGAGCAGAGCAGTGACTGAAGATGCTTCTGGTCAGTTTGTGCTAAACATTAAAATGACTTTAAATATAAACAAACGCCTATTGGGCGTTACTCGCGTATCTCGTCTCAAAGAATAATTCAGAATAATAAAAAAGAATTTGAGGCGGAAGTTTTGTCTGCACATCAAGATGTTTCTTAGATTAAACTTTTATTACATTCTTGTAGATTTGCGCATTAAAGCAGCTGTAGTTGGTTGATTTCTATTAAAACCTCTGCAGGATCCTGTTTGTTGCGTCAGGTTTTTCCAGGAATGCGAAAGTGGTTGAGACCGGAGGGCGAGCACGCAGCCGGGGGGGTGGAGGCGGTTGGGTCCTGGAGGTGGAGACGTGACGGTGTGTGTTTGCTTGTGTGGACTGATGGTTCAGTGTGAGCTGCTTTACCATCAGCAGCCTTAATAACTCCAACATTCCTATTGTAGGCCGTTTACCAGCTTTTAATCACGTGTAAACGCAACGCAGGCATCAACGCCTCTTTCTGCTGCCGAGTCACTTCGCCCCCCCCCCCTCCGGCCCGCCGCTGCGCTGTTTGCCTTGTAGTTACTTGGGTGGGGGTGTCTATTTGTCTTAGTCCAAGGTTTGGTCGTGTGTGACTTGCGTGTGTGTGTTGACTCGCATTAG